TAACACTAAAGGACCATATGTGTGAGTTGTGTATTTAAGAGAACCTCTAGGTTAATGAAAGAACACGCCACCATTCTAAAAGTCTTGTTCTCAAAATTGCGGATGAGTGAAGATCTCCGACCAAGAACTCGAGGTCAAATCATGGCTTCACTGATTCGTAAGCTCGCCAAAAATCCAACCACCCCATCGCCAGAGAAACTGAAAGAGGCAGTTGAACCTAAAGGCACTTCTCGCAAAAGGATCCGTCGTCCTAAAGCGAACCAGAAGAAAATAACTACAACAATTGAAGAAATCTTCCTAGATCAGTCTTTGGAAATGTTATCCGAGGTTGCCGCTGATAGTCAAGATGAAGAAGAACCACTGGAGGTCAACATGCAAGATCTATGTGAGGATGAAAATGATGATGATGAACCTGAGCTGATGGAAACTAATGCAAGAGAGGAGTTCGTCTATGAGGAACTGGAACCGCGACTTCAACACCTTAGAGCTCAGAATCAAGCTCGTCGCACAGCCATTCCGAGTTTGGAAAATCCAAAGCGTCCACCATTCAATGGATCATTCTACCGAGCCACATGAAGTAAAAGGTATGATTACTTGATGTCTCAAACTATTCTAGGAGAAAAGATTATGCCGTTGAGTGATGAGAAACTTGTGGAAACTAGACGTATCACTGAAAAGGCTGGGTTGATGTATATTGTTCTGGATCTTCCATGTTTCACTCGGGAAGTGGTGTTGGAGTTCTATGCTAATCTAGGTAACATAATCAAGCGAGGTGGTACCACTTGGGTGTTCATGAGAAATCACATGTATGAATTTTCTATCACCATAATAAACTGCATCTTTAAGACGTTGGCTCAACCGGTTGACTTTCCTCAGAAGCCATGGGTTACTGAGAATCTTGATAATGCTGTGGAAACCATGACTGGAGAAAAGAAGAAGAAATGGGGAAATCTGAGCATGCTTGACATAACATCAACTTTGAACATATTGTTCAAGTTCTGTGTGTACAACTGGATGCCTACTGCAAACAGGTCAACACTGACCATAGATCGGATTAAGTTCATTCACATGATCACTGAGGGAAGGCAGTTTGATTTTGGAGTCATGCTGTTTGATCAAATCTTTGAATCGGGTCAACAAGCAGTATCAGACAAAACAAAGAAGTTGCTCTTTCCTGGTCTCATTCAGCACGTACTTCATTCAGCACCCTATACCATTCGATCCTGAAGACTCAAATCTCACTAAGCCCGGGAAGATGATGCTTGATGGAAAGCAGGGTCTTCCGAAGAAACACCCAGGAACAGCTCATAAGCGCTCATTGACAAAGGATCTTGGTAACGTTTATCGTCTGGTTGACAACATCATCAGACGATCTGCTAGTAAGTATTCTCTGTTTCCTGATTTTTTTTTTTTGGTTTCATAACTTGGTTTTTAAGTGTCTATGCCACCAAGCAGGGGGAGAATATGGGGATCTGTCTAATCTAGGTGATAGCAGCAATGACGAAGATGAAGTTGAAGGCGATGGCGATGATGGTGACAGCCATAGTGAGGAGTTCTAAGTTCTATGGGGAGTCTTCTAAGTTCTAGGGGGAGTCTGTGTTTGTTTTTGTTTTAAGGAACTAGTAGTGACGGGGAGTTTGTTTTCATGAGATTTTCGGGTTCAAGGGGAGTGTTTAATCTAAGTAGGTAGTCACAGATAAGATGCAGGTTTCTTTTTCCTTGGTATTGATGTACGGTTGTGCTGATAAGAATGCTGGTGTTGTATTTTTAAAACGATCATTTGGTTGAATGCTATGGTTTTATGCTTACTAACATTAGTATGTACTTCTACATAGATGTTGTTTTTTAGTTTGTCACAGGTGCTTGGAGATAATAAACAGGTGCTTGGTGATGATAGACACTCAAAAAGGGGGAGATTGTTGGGACATGAAACCTCGTGAAGTGTTCAACAATTACAAGATTGCTCGAGTTTGAGTCTAGGCGGGAACAATTCAAACTCATGTGGTGACGTGGCAAGTGAAGAATTATCTGCTGATAGGATATACATAAGTCTGAGAGATTCTAGGAAGTAGAATAGTAGATTTAGTGTTATCCTAAAACAATCAGCTTGTCTAGGTCTATAATAGGCGAAGCTGGTGGTTTAAGTTTAGTTATAGTTTTAGAGCTTTAGTGTTTTTGACGGCAAGAGAAAAAAGGTATTTTGGGTCTTGTGAGTCTTTGAAGTTGTTCAGTGTTGATTCACACGTTGTGAAGTTAAGTAAAACTTATTAAACAAGTTTGCGTGTAATTTGTTTAAAGAACTTCAATAAAGCATTCAGATTTGAATTCGTGAAATTATATCTATGCTCTAGGTTTTTCAAAATTAACAGATAAAATGCCTAGTCTTAACGGCGAGTATGATGTTCGCAGACACTGTTCACTTGTCTCTGACGAGCACTCGTTGGTCCTCATTCACTATTCATCTATTTTTTTACATTATGGTATGATTACCATCACAAGACGCAGATAGAAGGAGGGACCAGTGTATAACACTCGATTCGGTGTCCGAATCTTACTTTCTAGTGGTTAACATGTATTATTCGTTTTTCAAATTGATTAAAAATATAAATATAAAACGATTTTACCTCAACTCCACAAGGACCTTGTGTACATTCAGTCTACTCGTGAATTGCAACCGTCAGGACACTTTGATCAAAATGTGTTATCTTAATTCACTCGTCCAGGAAATTAGGTGGATATAAGTTTGGGCAGAACAACACTTGAACTGACTGAATTGTGACTATAAAAAGAGAAATTTACTAGAATGTATAAGAAAAGTTGGTTTATTACTAAAGTGTGTGTAATATCTTTTGAAAATTACTAGAATGTTTGGACACTCTTAGTAAATGACAATTAAAAAAATTTGATTAGTTTATTTTAATCGTTTATTTTTAATTTATAAATCCATATCACTAATTAACAATCCACATCAGCAAAAACGAAATCAAGCCGTCTAATTCTCCACAACTATATAGGGGTTAAAGAAAAAGAATGAAGAACATTAATCGTCTCGAAGAAGGAACCGCAAGGATATTCCCACTCTCCTAAATCCTCGTCGATATTGTGTTTACTTCCTCGAACTAACTCTCTGTCATTGATATTGTGTCTTCTCAGATATCGTCTTCCCCGAAATCGTCGTCTTCAATCGTTTGTACGAAATCGTTTTCGCCGCATTCGTATATATGAGTTCGTCTTTTCCGGTAGGATGTCGCGATGTTATATATTGTGTTTTGGTTGAGTTTGGAGGTCAGTTATATATTATATTTCATCTAAGTTATATATTTTGTTGCGACTGAGATAGTGTTATATTGCGTCTTTAATATGGATTTGTTGAGGGTTTTGTTGCGTCTGAGTTAGAGGTTTGTTATGACTGAGTTAAGGTTTTATTGCATCTGAGTCAGAGTGATAATGTCTCAATGATGTTAAAAATTTCTAAGAAATTTAAAATAGATTTTACAGTTAATGAGAATAAAACAAATTTATTAATTTTGTATAGTTATATTTTCATATTTTTCTAGATAAATAAAGTTGATTGTCTTGTGTTCTTCTCAATATGTTTTGGATTGAATAGGACAAAAAAGCTTATGTACGAGGGGATGTAGTGGTACACCAGAGTGCAATTCCAGATGCATATCTACAGGTTACAAAAGTGGTGTTTGTCGACGAAATCAATTTGGTGAACCTTTCTGTTGCTGTTACCCTGAGTTTAAATCTTCAGATTACTTTCCTATATCTAATCCTGTTGATTACTAATTGATATGAAATTATACATTTACTCAATATATGTAATTTAAATAAATAATAATAATCAAATATTAATAATTAGATATTTGGAAATATAATAATTTTGATAACCAAGAAGAATTCAGACTAGTGAAAAAGGATACTCATCTCCAGGGTATTCATATTAAAACAATCACCAATGATAAATTAGAAAAAAAATTACTCAAGTTTTGAAAAAATAATTTTGGACTTATTCTTTTTATTCTTTTAAATTATTATTTTTATTTTGGTGATTTTTCTCATGTTTTCTATTTTTGTGATAAAACAATATTTAGGGTTATCCTATGGTATTTCCTTAAATTAATCTATTTCATGCAAAAATATAAGTTATAAACACATTTGAACTCCCACTCTATTATTTAAAAAAAAAAAAAACTCCCACAAGATCAATGTATTTTTCTAAAATGAATTAACAAATAAAACATGTTTATTTACAAAGATCACTTAAACTAAATTAATACTTAACTAGTTTAACTTCTCACCTTAAACTTTGATCAATATAAATCCACATTCTTCATCAACTAAGAAAAATGCCTCTATTTTTTTTTTGTTTTTAAGTTTAGGCATATAAAAGCGAAACCAATCAAGTGAAACTATGAAAAATACTCTCTAGAGGCTCTCTCTAGGCCAGTCCGGTAAGGTATGTTCCGGTACTCTTTTTTTCAAAACTTTGGCCATAACGGTCAGCACAATTAAAAAACAAAGCCGCAACGGCTGTTCTCGTGAGCATCATACAACACAATCGAACCAATCTGTTCGCCAAATCTCAGCAAATATCACGATATCCCATGTCAATGCTTGGAGTTTGGGAGATAATTATGCGGATCCATCAATTTTCAAAAGATAATCAGATTGTTTTGACTCAATCTGCGTTTTGAAAAGGTCTCTTAATGATTTTCCTGCAACTAATTCAAAGAGATCAACCCTTAAATCTGATTTGGGAAGGAAGGAGTAAAATCAGAGCTTTTGTTACAGAAACAAAGATCTTTAAATCCAATAAAAAGAACGGGGATCCCAACTCACAATACCTTATGGAAAGTGATAGAATCACGAACCGTAATCTCACAACACAGTCCACGCCCCATAATCTCTATCATTATTCTTTGATGGAGTTTTTCACTCGATCTTTAATGTGGATCACAAAGCAAGTCACTATTAAAAAAAGATCTGTAGCATTAATGTGGGTGTTGAAGGCGTTTGGGGATATGACCACGAAAAACACTGAGGATCCAATGAGAAGAACCGCAAAAGCTCAGGAAGACAGAGAAGATGATCCAAAGAAGAGAAGCTTCAAACAAGCCTCTTGGTACCGTGAACCTAATGTGGAAAATACAAAGCTGTCTCCGACCCAGGGAAAGCCACAAACAGGGAATCACAAACCAGGCAATCACAGAAACTTGGTGCGCAAGGTAAGGTAAACTCATATGTTTGCAGCAAAGCTCTGATGAATCCCACTGACGTGGATGAATTATATCTCCCCTGAAATACCTACTGAAGGACCAGAGGTATGGGGATGATGGTGATGAGAGTGAAGGTAGAAGAGGCAATCCGGTAAAGAGCCGACTTGGACCTCGTACTGATACCATTCTCCAAGCAAAGAAAAAAAATTGCTAGGAGCCCATACCGTGGCTACTACTCAAGGAATAGACAAGCAGGCTATCTAGTAGATTCCTCTAAGAAGAGAGTCTATGGGGAAAAAAATAAACGTGTTCCTGGAACACTTCCACTGCCTCCTAAGGTGGGTCCGGACGTTAGAAAGGAGAAGGAGGAACCAAAGAAGCTGGTGTTTGACGAGATCCCACGGCCAGTCCAATATGATCTTAAGTTGGAATTGCCAACGAATTGGAAGTTTCTTGGCAATTCGTCACCTGATGGAGATCCGTCAAAAGTTTTTTTCGGGTATCATGTTCTTTATGGAAACTAAAAATAAGAGAGATTTTTTGCAAAATCTCCAGATTGAGTTTGGTTACGATTTTCTTTTTATTGTTGAGCCTTCAGGGGTTACTGGCGGTTTAGCCGTTCTTGCTTTATCTGAATTTAATGTTCAAATTTTATCTTCCAATAATAGAATCATTAATGTGTCAGCAACAATTGATGGCAATAATTTTTTTATTTCTTTCGTTTACAGAGATCCTGTCATTAATCAAAGGCAATATGTATGGGAGCAACTGGCTAAAATAAGCATTTCACGCTCTAATGCGTGGTTCATGGTTGGCGATTTTAATGAGATCAATGGTAACCATGAGAAAGTGGGAGGACGCATAAAGAATGAAAACTCAATTTTAGACTTTCATCTTATGCAACAAAACTGTGGAATGATCGAGTTTCCTTACTCGGGAGGACTGCCTATCAATGGTAGGACAAAGACATAACTACCTCATAAGATATAGACTCGATAGAACTATGGGTAATGCAGAATGGTTCAGTCTTTTCTCCAATACATCATCACAATATCTCTGTTTTATGGGATCCAATCATCGGGCTATTATCACCCATCTAACCAACCGTACAAGAAAAGGGTGGAAGAAATTTTGTTTCAATAAACGCTGGACGTCCAAAACAGGATTTGAAAACATCTTGCGCGAAGGATAGATCGATAATGAGAACAATAATGAGATCTCTTTATATGCCATAATCAAGAAGTGTCGGTCGACCATTTCCCGCTTGCGCAGAGATGAGAATTACAATACACAAAAGATTCTAGAAGAGCTTAAAGAGAAGCTGGACAGAAGTCAAGTAGACCAGTCTTTATCAGCATTTGAAGTATCTTTGATACAAGACTAGTTGCAAAAGGCACACGAAGAAGAAGAAGACTTCTGGCAACAAAAAAGTCGAAACCATTGGTTCAAGAATGGCGATCGTAACACAAAATTCTACCACGCAACAACCAAGCATCAGGAAAGAAATTATATTAGTGGCTTAAACGATAATGGAGGGGTTTGGTGTGAAAATGAGAGGAAAATTGAAAGAATTGCTATAGAGTTTTTCTAGCGAACTCTTTGCAACATCTTCTCCCTCTGATATCGAAGTTTCATTAAACCATCTTGAAACTTATATCCCTCCGGAAATGAATGAGATCCTGTGTAAAGATATAGATCCTGCTGAAATTAAAAAATCGATTTTCTTTATCCATCCGGAGAAATCTCCAGGACCAGATGGAATGACATCTCTTTTTTACCAAAACTATTGATACACCATTGGTCCCCAGATCGTTAAAATTGGTGAAGAATTCTTTAACTCTGAATAATTCGATCCTCAATTTAGTGAGACGAATATTTGTCTCATCCCAAAAACTGAGAGACGAAGAGATATGACTAACTTCCGACCCATTAGTGTCTGAAATGTGTGCTATAAAATTATTTCTAAAGTGTTGTGTTAGAGGCTGAGATGATTTCTGCCGAAGATTATTTCGGAAACTCAATATGCCTTTTTGGCAGAACGCGCTATAGCGGATAACATCCTTATAGCACAAGAAGCTTTCCATGCTCTAAGAACCAATAATAGATGTAAGAATGAGATCATGGAAATTAAAACTGACATGAGCAAAGTTTACGATAGACTGGAATGAGACTTCTTAGAAGCTATGATGAGGAAAATGGGGTTCAGAGAAAAATAGATCCAATGGATAATGAGAAGTGTACGATCAGTATCTTATAGTGTTTTGATCAATGGAAACCCCACAGGCCATATAAATCCGTCAAGAGGACTACAGCAGGGGGATCCACTGTCGCCATATCTATTCATCCTTTGTACAGAAGTTCTTATCGCGAATATAAAAAAAAACCAAAAAAATCAGGACAAATTACGGGTCTCAGAGTGGCCCGTGAATGTCCTCCAATCTCTCATCTCCTCTTTACAGATGACAGTCTTTTTTTATGCAAAGCAGTCCCAGAGAAATGCACTAGCTTGCTCAACGCTCTCGACACATATGGGAATGCCACCGGACAGAGAATTAATTTTGAAAAATCAGCCATCACTTTCGGGAAAAAATTCCATCCAGAGGCTATGGGTAACTTGAAGAACATTCTCGGAATCTCCACGGAAGGTAGCAATGGCAGATACCTATTCATTCCAGAGCAACTACAAGGCTCCAGAACACATGCTTTTGCTTATGTACAGGATAACCTCCATCGGAAGGTTAATAATTGGACGGCAAAAACCCTATCTAAAGTCGGTAAAGTAGTAATGATTAAATCCATAGTACCAGCTATTCCGACGTACCCAATGTCGTGTTACCTCCTCCCCAAAGGAATCTATAAAAAATGACAAGTGCAACATTTAGTTTTTGGTGGATGTCTCGCCCAAATTCCAAAGGTATGCACTAAAAATCATGGGACAAACCATGTCTCCCTAAAAATGAAGAGGAATGGAGTTCCGATCGCTTGAAGAATTTAATCTAGCCTTATTGGCTAAACAAATTTGGTGATTTGAACAAAACCCAAGTTCCTTACTTGCAAGAGTTCTAAAGGGAAGATACTTCAGGAATTCTCATCCCTTCAAAGAACCAAAAGCATCAAGAACATCATATGGCTGGAGAAGTATGATGGCAGTGAAAGATCTTGTCAATCAAGGCCTTAGACGCACAATTGGATCAGGGGAGCATACACTTGTTTGGGAAGACCCATGGCTACCGGATGAGACAGCAAGGCTTCCCATGATGCTCCACAACTCAGATCCAAACCTAAAAGTGGCTGATCTTATCGACCATGTGAAAAAGGAATGGGATACCACATAACTCAGGAACCTATTACACCCTCACGGCATTCCATTAGTTCGCTGTATAAACCTTAGCAGGATTCCCAAACCAGATGGGTCCTGCTGGAACCGATCTATATCTGGGAAATATTCGATCAAGTCAGACTATATGCTTGCAAGATCTAAAACAGATAGAGAGTCTGAATTCAGGAATCAGCTACCATCTCTCCTCCCTCTGAAGGAAAAAAATTAGGAAATTAAAACTCAAAAAACATTTAGCCATTTTCTATAGCAGATTTTATCAGAGGCAGTATCAGTTAACGAAAGGCTTTTTAAGAGGCACTTGGAAATGATCCTACCTGCCCAAGATGTGGCCACACAGAGGAAACAATTAACCAAATGATCTTTACATGCCCTCCAGCTCAGGAATGCTGGGCTCTCTCAACGATCCCATCGGATCCAGGGGCCTTCCCTTCACAGAACCTTTACACCAACATTAACTACTTTCTCTCGAAGGCAAGTAGTGGTGGAAATATGGAGGAACTAATCAGAGTCTTCCCTTGGTTAATTTTGTATATTTGGAAAGCAAAGAATGAAAAACTTTACAATGGTCGCGTCTTCTCACCAGTGGACACAATAAATCTAGCATTACGGGAATGCAATGTGTGGTTCATAGCTAACGAAAAGACCGATTCAGAGGATAGTATCCCAGAGAGTATATCAAGGAACCACCCTGATATGCCTATTTTTACATGCCGCGTAGACGGTTCATGGAAGAATGATAGCACCACGAGTGGAGTTGGATGGATTCTACAGCTCCAAGACAGAACAATAGACCTACTTGGAATCCAGGGTTGCCACAAATAAATCTCGCCACTACATACATAACTAAAAGTTTAGTGTAGGCATTAAAATGTCTATATTGCCATCACCGGTTCTGTGATTATTTCGTTACTAATTCTCAGGAATTAGTAAAAATGATTTTGACACCGGAGGATTGGCCAGCCTTTGCAGCTGAACTAACTGAGTTTAAATTTGTTTGGGAGTCCTACCAAGACGGAAAGATGGTTTATCAACCCAGAGTTAGCAATACTAAAACGGACTTCTTTGCAAGACAAGCTCGAACAAGAAATCGTGTTTTCTCATATGTTAACATGTCGGTGCCACATTAGATCGACACTCGCAACTCATTCTTCGTGGATTCATATTAAAATTAATCTTTGTATTTTCATTGGGATAAAAAAAAAATTTAGGCATATAAAACTTAGAGAAATTACTTAGAATGACTTAAATTTATTTTAAAATGACTAGAATGACTCATATTAAAATTTAAATACTAGACCCAATTTAGAAACAAGCAGATTGACAAAAAAATCCCTTGTTTAAGCTTACTTTCCAAATTTAAAAAAAAAAGAAAATCAAAACATAAAAGAATTGGAATAAAAACAAAAGAATCAAGAAAAAGCAAAAGAAACAAAAAAAGAGAACTATGGTTTTGTCGGGTCTCTCTTACATACTCACGGCCACTTCGGCGAAGAAGAAAACTTCAGTTGATGTCATTTCGTCCCAAGCCCCCTTCGTCGTCTTTATCCCCTCCGTCACATCTCCTCAATTTGTCTTCGTTTTTAATACTGCAAAATTAAACATGTAAGTGCTTAATGTATCCAATGCTAGTTATTTCTACTTGTTTTTAAGTATTATTGCTTGATTGTATGTTTAATTTTAAAAACCCTAAATCCCAATTTAAATACTCCTTCGATTGCAATTTTGGTTCTTTTCCAGTAAGTTTTCGTATAAAAAGGTTGTTTAATTCTTGTTTTATTGATTGCCAAAGTTTGTAGATCGGAAGTTTGTAGACTCTAATTCCTAATTTCTTTAGTACCGGCTCAGATTGAAGAACCGTGAGAAAGATATGGATA